TTTTTATGTTTAACGTTCTTTTTTATAGATACAAATATTTAAGTAAATGCTCTGTTTATAATAAACAGTATTAAATAACATTTACTGGCCTGAATGTCCGAGAAATTTTCATAGAAAATATTTGTCCTTTGATCCTGTCAAAAAAAATTCTCGGACATTCAGGCCGGTAAATGTTATTTAATACTGTTTATTATAAACAGAGCATTTACTTAAATACTTGTATCTATAAAAAAGAACGTTAAACATAAAAATGTCTTTAATAAATAAATTGTCGGACTTTGTCCATTTCTTAATATATATATATATATATATATATATATATAACGAGAATGTTTTCCTGAAATAATAGCCTGACACATACTTCTCAAATACAATAAGTCTACTTGAAATCATATAGAGATTTATGGCATGTTGATTTTCTTTCTACACCAATATCATAATCCTGACAAGATCATCGAAACATTCATTTCTTACGTATTGTCCTTTCTCTATTTATTAATATTATCGTTAGAAATTTAAAACGTTGTTTCAGATCCTTGTTTCTTAGCGCGGATGTTGCAATGATATCTCTCAGCAATATTTATAAATTAACAGAATAGACTTGATAATACACATAAAGTGAAATACGGGGTTGGAAGAAGTGTGGAAATACATGGTTATTTGTTAAGTAAACGGTATCGGTAAGTCTCCAAATGATTTAATTTTACGAAAAGCAGCGTTCAGAATTACAATGTACTGAGGCTATTCTGTTTTGACATTTTCTATCTATCTATCTCTCTATCTCTCTATCTATCTATCTATCTATCTATCTATCTATCTATCTAACATTCTTAAGCCAGGGAGAAAGCCCAATTAATTATTAGTTCGGGAAAGGCATTTCACTAATGTGCAAAGTAATAATGTCTGGCAGGGCAGAAAGTCTACCTGACGCCATGAAATATTATACACGAGTTGTATGAAAACAATTTATGATAATTTAGATTAATATTTGAGAATATATAAAACAAGAAGATGAACAAAAGAAAAGTTATAAACGAGATCTTTTGTCCGTGAAAAAAGCATGTTTTTAGGTTTTAGTTGTATACTTGCGTATGATAATATTTGTAAAATCCAGAGCAGTTCATCTAAAATCCATCGCTGGTCGTTTTTGAACTTCGGTGGATAACACACTAGAGTACATTGAAACCAAATTCATATTTGAATCGTGTTTCATTTTGTTAATGTACATATTCGCCCCATATGCCGGGGAATTAGTTATATAAAATCATACGCATGATGACGAAATGTTACCGTTGAAAATTATTTTCAATGGAACCTTAAACTGTGTAAGATTACAGGATGAATGACACGTACTGTTACGTTAAGTTAAGACTACATTAAAAGATTGATCCATGACATAACAAGTAAAATTTTTTTATATAACTCTATGGAAGTAATCACATCCCGCTCAAATAAACTCACAAGTAAGTAAAGCATTTTATTTATTGCCATTTCCTTCTAATTGAAGAATTAATTTAGGGATTTAATTTCTTTGTTTACTTTAATAGTACAGTGGGAAAATGAAATAAAATCAATAAAGAAAATCATAATAATTATTTAAAAAAGTAATACATTTTCTCATGCTGCTAGTAATAAAGGAACTGGGAAATTTAATTAACTGATTGTTTTCGTAAAACTCCGGTAAGGAGCGTTGTTAATGTTTTATAAAAGACAAAAATTCTTTCATTTTACTATTTTTCACTTACTCGCTCCAAAATATATCAGAGGTGGATGAAGACGTCCCTCTGGAAAAAGTCCCTTTTCTCCAGTCGATTGAAAACTAAATTCTCGTTTCACTTTCCAACGTATAGCGTTCGGATGTGCTTTGCCGAATTCCCACCAGTGAAGTAAGACAGATTTTACTTTGGTCGCTCTAACACAGCACAAGGCTGACTTGAGCACGAGAAATTAATAACCATTATTATCCTTATCTATGCTATCTTCTGGGCCAGAAAACAGAATAGATATATCCAAGAGGGATTGAGAACTTTGTTCCCATACAATTTCCACTATAAAAAAGAATAAAATGAATGTATTGGAAACTCATGTTTGTGCTGCTATTTAGTTAATTGTTTGTAGCTGGACACATATTGGTTTCTATGCACCAAACCACGACGCTATAGCAACTTGCATTTTTAATCGTTACGTGGACAATAATATGAATATTAACAAAGAATAAACAATATCTATCTATCTATCTATCTATCTATCTATCTATCTATCTATCTATCTATCTATCTATCCCCCTTTCCATATATATATATATATATATATATATATATATATATATATATATATTTAAGTTATACAATCTTAGTTTCAGTTACTTCTGTGAATTTGAACAAATGACCAAAACTATTATTAGCGTACTTTCATGTTTGTGCATTGCGTTTTTCAGCATACCCTCTTACATACAGCAATTCATTCCATTTAATACAGAACAAAATGGATGATAAAATTAAAAAAATGAAAATACACTATCAATTAGAAGTTTATAAAAAAAATCTAATACAAAATATATGTTCATAAATTCTGTGTTTTACCTACAACCCTTTTGTGTATTAATGGTATAATACTACGGAAATATTTGATTAAATACTCAAACTCAACACACAACAACACACCCACCTACACACACACACACACACACACACATATATATATATATATATATATATATATATATATATATATATATATATATATATATATAGTACGAAAATAAACTAAACATTTCATTAACTAATCTTCCCGATTTAAAATTTTGCAGATATAATCCGCTCATCAGCGCGTTAATTTTTTTAATTGAATTTATGTTGACATGTCTGATTCAGTTACAAATGAAAAAAAAAAGAAACTAAAAAAAGTTAAAATTTGACGTCAAATAATTATAAATTTCTTTTATAACGATGTTGTTGCGTGACGTATTTTAGCATGAAATTGTTCGATTCTGTGTCTTAGAAAAAATTTATATAATCAGGTTCAAGTTCTGTCTGTGTGTACATTTCTTTATTATGACCACCACTCTCTTTAAGAGTGGGCGTAAATTTCAGTGATTTAATAGAAAAGTATATCCTCGTGAACTCATATATACATTAAATATGAGGTTTATAATAATGATAATAATAATGGTAATAATAACAACAAAAAAAAACGTACGAGCTATAAAATGAACCCGTTAATGTGAACAATCATCACTTTGTGGAAAGTACATGAAGTTGTCTATTTTTTATATACTATGCTCTGTATTTGGTAAGTGCTGAAACATTTTGCTGTACTTGAGTCTTTGGTGCACACTCTGTATTATATATATATATATATATATATATATATATATATATTGTGACCTAGGCATGGTTTCTGAATAGAATAATCAAACGAAGTTTGGTTATGGAAGATAATACTTAAAACAAGAATAACACATATAAGATTCGTCAACGGCGCGTAGAAGTAGTCACCTGCTACAAATGAGTCAAGTGAATTCCACAATGAATCTCCAACTGCATTATATCTACCAAGCACCCTACTCGGCCAGATGTGACACAAAGTCGAATTTGATGTAAGCTCGGCCCAAAATTCCCCGTAGACCCCGTATAAAAACGAGGTCGGGTATCTACTTTCCGAGACGAGACTCTGCCCTTCGACATAGCCTAGTCTGTTGAACCTATCTGCCCGGAGGCAGAGAGTTTGACCAGCACAGCTGGAGACGATTCTCCAACGGCAGGGTATCTACCAGCCGCCCCACGCTGTCAGACCCTGTATAAAACGAGGGCGAGTAGCTGTTTCCCGAGGAAAGGCTCTGCCCTTCAACATAGCCTTGTCTGGGGATTCTCTCTGCCCGGAATAAGAGTTTAACCAGCCCAGCTGGAGACGAATCTTCAACTGCAGACCAACATACAGCATATACTACTGTATTTATGGGAATGGGGACATATACACTATCGTCCGTAGGAATGCTGCAGTATTTTCACCTTTAAGAAAAATACCTTTAAGGAAAAGACTGTATTTCCACAACGATGGCTCATTTCATCAAACAATACATCATACCCCCGAGAACGTGTTTCCCAGAAACGGTTTGAGAGTATTATGGATATTTCTATTAATTGCTAAAGCGACCGCATTCCGACAAAATAAGGCTTCTCAAATACGAAGTATCGACATTACTAATGTTGGAAATAATATGTCGGATCCAAAATAAATCCATTATTCCTTTAGTATACATATATATATATATATATATATATATATATATATATATATATGTAAACCGTAGCTTAAAATTATGCATATGCACAAACTTGTATGTGCTCGGAATTATTTGTAAGCAATCTGATGGAATAACGTCTCGTCATGTTGAGTGTGAAAATCGAGTTTGAATTCCAGCCAGCTTCGTTACATTAAATAAACGCAAATACAATTCGGCAAAGTATGAATTGGTCTCCTCTCTCGGCTATGGGTTAAATAATAATTCTTTTATCTGTAAAAAAACTTGCTATTGTAAAAAAAATAACGAGGTCACCGTCCAGTTGAATTGCATGAGAATCTGTAGTCGTCTTGAAGCAGTGGTTGAAGCCAGTTGCGATTTTATTAATTAAATTTACTCTCTAGTATTTCAATATATACTTTAGTATATATATATTTGTTAAAATGCAAATGTGTTGTTAGTATTATTTTAATTTATGCGTAATTTAAATGACAATTTATCCATCATACTGTCTGTTTATATCCATTAGTGTGTATATATATATATATATATATATATATATATATATATATATATATATATATATATATATATATATATATAGTCAAGCACTTGACTTTAACGATGTACCGATGTTTCGTTCGTTTGGGTCCCATAAAAAATGAAGCATAGTCGCAAATATGAAAGAACGAAAAAAGAATAATAAGAGGGTGAAAAAAGAAAAAAAAGAAAAATTATTGAATGACCATCATTCTCTTTAACGTTGCGTAAATGTGCGTAGGAAGAGAGAGAGAGAGAGAGAGAGAGAGAGAGAGGAAAACAAGAGAGAGGAAGTCATTGAGTGTGAGATTGAGAGAGTGAGTGATAATGAGTTAGAGAGAGAGAGAGAAAATATGTATCTAGAGGGAGAGTGATTGGAGAAAGAGAGGAGGGAGATGTCTTATATATGCCGTAACCGAGAATAAACGAATTTGGGGAATGAAATTCTAGTGGAGGAAGCAGTACGCAGATAAAGTATGAACGTGTGATGCAAAGTGAGGAAAGGAAGTATTTCAGTTGTCAATAGAGATGAAAATAGATGTCTTAAAAGAAATAGGAATTAATTTCATGTAATAAGATTATATTTCATTATTTTTTAAGTATATCCGTTGCTTTTTTATTCAACAAATGTTAAAACATGAAAATAAAATCAACAGCGATATTCTGTAGAACGTTATTGACAGCTTAACTTTCAGTGTGGGTGTCGACTTTACGGAATTATGCAAGACATAGATCACTTCCAAACGTATTATATCTACTTATTTGTCATTTGTCAAAAGGGATGATCATCACAGTGGAAATCACGCTATGGAAATCAGTGAAAGACCTTTAAATACGACAGAGAAGGCCTACAATTAATACCTAAAGGCAAAAAATCCCGAACAAATTTAGGCCAGTTAGAAGGGGATGAGGCATTGAATAACAGAAGACAGATTCACCAGGAAAAAGATCGTTGCAAGATGCCTGATAAACATAGCGAAGAAATGCTCAGAAAGAGAAGAAAACGTGATATGGACAAATAAGGGAGAAATAAAACCTGGAGAAGAACGCGGACTGCAGAACAAGAAAGAAAGAAAAAAAACATAGGATGAAAGAGACGATGTGTAAATGAACAACAATCATAAAAACAACATGGCTATCCTGAATGGATGAAAAACAGACAGCCAGAAAATTGAAATTTGAAAGAAAAATAAAAAAAAAGGAAAACTATAGTCAAATGGTCAAAAATATAGATAAAGAGTTAAGACAAAATAAGAAAATTAAAGCAAGTCTATTTTCAAAGGGTTAGAAGAAAGACGACAAAATATGACCGAAAAATAAAGACAAGAGTATCTTTCACGGATCAGAAACAATAATCAAGAAAGAATATAATATAAATATGACTATATTTAAAGCATCGAAATTGGTATAAAAAGATTTGGAAAGCCAGCATCTAAAAGACACCGTCCTGGGCATGACGATGAACTCAATCTGACAGCAAGGGAGGTTTTGAGCAGTGTGTAACCACTTCTTAATTGTTGTTATCCCCAGCTTTACCCTGACCAGAGGTTGTAGCACGTTTTAGAATCTCAGCTATAGGCATATAGTGAACCCCCAAACTGAAGTTAAAACACAATGAATTTGTAGGAAGATATTTCTATTGTGAAAGTACCAGCAATACATTTTCACAGCAAGAAAATTACCAGCAATAGGTTTTGTAACAAATTAAAAAAATATTACCAGCAATACTTTTATTGTAAGTGACAATATTACCAGCAAAACATTTTTGTAAAGAAAAAAATACTAGCATATAATTTTAGTAAGGAAACAAAATTACCAGCGATACATTTTTGTAAATTAAATTACTAATACTTCCAAGAAAATTAAATTTAGGTATTAAATGACCCATAATGATTTGATATGTCATTAAACAGACAAAATATTTCCAAAAAACAACAAGGGATATTCCCAGTGAACAACACGGCTTATTCCCAGGGAACAATAAGGGATATTCCCAGGGAACAAGACGGCATATTCCCAGGGAACGATAAGGGATATTCCAAGAGAACAACACGGCATATTCTCAGGGAACAATAAAGGGATATTCCCAGGGAACAAGACGGCATATTCCCAGGGAACGATAAGGGATATTCCAAGGGAACAATAAGGGATATTCCCAGGGAATAATAAGGGATATTCCAAGGGAACAATACGGCATATTCCCAGGGAACGATAAGGGATATTCCAATGGAACAATAAGGGATATTCCCAGGGAACAATAAGGGATATTCCAAGGGAACAACACAGCATATTCCCAGGGAACAATAAGGGATATTCCAAGGGAACAACACGGTATATTCCCAGGGAACAAGACGGCATATTCCCAGGGAACGATAAGGGATATTCCAATGGAACAATAAGGGATATTCCCAGGGAACAATAAGGGATATTCTCAGGGAACAATAAGGCATATTCCCATGGAACGATAAAGGATATTCCAATGGAACAATAAGGGATATTCCCAGGGAACAATAAGGGATATTCCAAGGGAACAAGACGGCATATTCCCAGGGAACGATAAGGGATATTCCAGGGAACAATGAGGGATATTCCCAGGGAACAACACGGCATATTCCCAGGGAACAACACGGCATATTCCCAGGGAACAATAAGGGATATTCCAAGGGAACAACACGGCATATTCCAAGGGAACAACACGGCATATTCCCAGGGAACGATAAGGGATATTTCAAGGGAACAACACGGCATATTCCCAGGGGACAATAAGGGATATTCCCAGGGAACAATACGGCATATTCCAAGGGAACGATAAGGGATATTCCAATGGAACAATAAGGGATATTCCCAGGGAACAATAAGGGATATTCCCAGGGAATAACACGGCATATTCCCAGGGAACAATAAGGGATATTCCCAGGGAACAACACGGCATATTACCAGGGGCCAACACGGCATATTCCCAGGGAACAACACGGCATATTCCCAGGTAACAGTAAGGGATATTCCCAGGGAACAACACGGCATATTCCCAGGGAACAACACGACATATTCCCAGTGAACAATAAGGGATATTCCGAGACAACAGCAAGGTATATGCAGAGAACACATCAGAAAGGGTCAATGTTCCCCGATTCTAAAGAAGAGTTGATTCGATGATATAAAACTGGTCAGATGAACAGTCTATGTCCATAATACGAAGAACTCTGATTAAAAAATATCAAACCCTGACAAACTGGGTGGTATCACGTCCAAATTTACAAAGTACACACTTCTAATCTCATTAATAGCCGCGAAAGTAATTTCCTCAAGGTATAGATTCAGATCTACATATTTGTATTTTTATTCACTTCGGTTATAGTCAATGTTGCGCTGGCAGCAGAATGATTCCTATATTACATCAAATTACTAGATCCAGTTTCTTATCCTGCCAGCAAATTACGTCCAAACGTTGACAAAAGGCGGTATGGTCAAGTATATATTTTTGATATGCTCGGGGCATTGTAAAATCGAGTCACTTTTTATTAGTACTGCTTTTTTGATTGTTTTCTAATGGTTATCAATATATGTGAAATGTAGATGTACATGAAGATGAAATAGCAACCAGGAACAAATTCCAATTCATTCTGGGAAATAATGCATTTTGCAGCAGGTGTATGAATAAAAAAAAATCATTGTAGAAACAATGATACGGCAGCCATATTTGTCGGAGAAAGTAGAGTCTCTCCAGAAAATGACGATATCATTATCTTTCCTACATAACGGCAAAAAACAGCTAATATCATTTGAAACCAATGTTTATCCATTACTGTTTCGCAATGGCGAACAAGAATGGCATATCAACATCGAACACGTCAAGAACACCTACAAAGTTTTCCCATTAAAATTACCATGCAAGAATACTAGTTGCTCTAGGCAATATTAGCTAAGCTCTCAGATCTCGGAAATACTGAAAAATATATTTTAAAAGTAGATTTATCAAGTTGCACCTTATATTCATAAACAATGATGAAACCTAACTGCGAATAACGTGTTGTTATTTAGGTATCAACTAGCAAAGTACGAACATGGAAGTTATAACGGTGTCACTATGATTTTTTTCATCATCATTTTCAGGAAGCCTCAGAATCAAACAACACTTTTAAAAGAATGTTATGGAAACCGTCTACACCTAGAGCAAGTATGTCTAAAATCTTTGCCTATATTTAAAAATCAATGTGCACAATAATTATTAACAAACTCAATCCGTCGGCAACAGCTAAACAATAACTAAAATTTATTTACACTCTTTATATTCGGACTATTGTGCACCTCTTTGTTGTCGTATCATCCGGTCTTCCTCAAGTCAATATCAATCTTAACCTAGAAGTAATTATGAACTGAATGCTTTGTTTAATCTACATTGGCCAGACTGATCACATTCCACTGCCAATGTGTAGGGATATCGCTTAGTTTTTAAATGTACTATTCAGTCAGTTATATGACATGAGTGATACACGCTTAAACGATCATGTATCTTCCGGTACATGACTGGCGAGCCCGATTTTTCCCGCTGTAGGATCTCATTTCTCTCTGCGGTAGACCAGTTGCCATCCAAGGCTATAGAACCTGGTTTAGGGTATTAGCTCGTGAGTGAATGTAATGGATTATGACTGGATTTCGAACTCGACTCTCTGATTCTTGCTAGGAATAATCATCGAAGTGGGACTTACTCTTCCGAGGAATGTTGTTGTCTGGAGGTCTCCCTGTTGATTGTTATACTCTCTGAGTAAGCCCAAATTCCTGTTTAATCCCTCAATGTTTGAATTTATTTTGAAGACACATTTCAACTCAAATCTACGCCTTTCCTCTCGACTCTTAAACGAAGACGCTAAACGCGCGTATCTGATGTCATCGGTGTATTGATATAGTTGGTTGAAATTTACTGCGACGGTGAAATTATTGTTGTTGTGCCTGATAGTTTTCCTATGTTTATTAAATCGAATTCGGATTTGTTTTCCCGTTTCTCCAACATAATTCCCTTTTTTACACATATGGCAAAGAAGCAAATATACGAGATTTGAACTATCACAATTCATAGCTGGTGGTTTGAATACTACTTGAGTGGCCGGTGGTGGAGGTGTAGCTCTTATCAGGTTTGATATGTCTATAGACTTGTTAACGGGGTTTATTGCAGTGAGGTGGTGAAAGATGTATATCTGATGTTGTTAAAAGTGTTTGAATGTTAGGGGGTTGGCACTGAGCGTGAAGCGGGTTTTCGTTAAATATTTTTCTAATTGTTTGGTCGAGTTTTAAATAGTGGAAATCTTTTGTTAAGATATGGAGAAGCTTGTGAATGATATAATTAAAGCAAAAAATATAGGAATTATTCTTTCTTTTTCATAGGCTAGAAATGTATTCCTATTTTGTTTGAAAGCCTTAGTAATTAGTAATTTTTTAATAGTTTTAAGTGGGCTATTTCTGTTAAGAAGATGAGTGAATAATTGTCTTATCTGTATTTTGTAATACGCATTCAGTGAACGGATAAATTTCATGCGCAGACATTGGCTGTAGATAATTGATTAATTTAGGTTGGTGGGGTGACAGTTATTGAAATTCAGGTAGCAATGATCATCTGTTTGTTTGGTGTATAGTGTAGTGGAGATGTGGTTTTTATTTAGTCGTACCAGTACATCAAGAAACGGAATAAACGTGGTGAAATATGCTGAGCAATGGTGGGAGGAAAAAGATCATTCTGACCATCAGCCGCAGTCTGCCTAAATAAGAATGGGGAGAGGTAAATATCAATCAGGCCTTCATTAATGGCATGAACCTTCATACTCCGGTGTCCATCTTCAAATTACATTCAAGAACCATCAAGAGAAAGGTGAATATGTTTTAAAAAGCGGGAACAGTAGAGAGAAAAACTGGGTCAGAAAGTCACAACAGGAAGAATCATTATCACTTCAACTTAGAGCTAAATAAATTCTTATTGTCCAAAAAACCTTGTGGAATTCCAGTAAGATATCTTTAATCCCTTCTAAGATACAACGATTCAAATCTTAATACAACAATTGGACAATTCGGCTTTTACACAATTTGGACAATTTTGCTGTTACACCCGGTATACGTTTTACGCTAATGTTTAGAGAAATCTAGAAAACTGAGTCATATTTTTAGTACTGGATTATTGCACTCATATTAGAAGACAGAAAGCGAAAATGGATATAGGAAAGAAAGTATGAATAATAGAAGAAAAACTGCAACGGAGAAACAGAGAAAATATTCAGAATTTAACAATGGCGAAAAAATAATATAAAATGGAAACCACACGGCTTCTTATATAGAAGAAGTGTAACTGCATGAAATGTCTGTATTTTATAATGCTTTATTTAAAAAAAAATATATTCAATTAATTATGAATAGAAAATAATGATATTTACGGTCGAAGTTTTCATAGAAATAATAAAAGCAATTTCAGAATAAAAATCTCTTTATCAGGAAACAAAAAAAAAATCCAATTAATTTCGCTCTCTTAATCTATGTTTGGTATTTCATATGATTTCGATGAATTCTCAGTGCAATGCAGTCATATAAAAATCCGTTAAACAATAGATGATTGCGGTATTCCATTGTGACCAGTTTTATAATGTTTTAACTCTTACACACTCACATACGGGCGCGAATGCACTCATCCATATATATATATATATATATATATATAATTCTCGAAGCCCTTTATATAAGAGAATTGTGTCCAAAAATAAATAAGATCAACTATGAGTATAGCATCAAAATTCTTAAATATTTATGGCAGCAATGTTTTATATAAAATACTATATTGAAAAAAATAAAAATATTCTCTATTTTTTAAATATTAAAATGAAAGTAAAAAATAAAAAATTACAAAAGTTAATCCCTTACATATTCGAATTTGGAATGCTGTAAACGAGCAGTGAAAAAATATTTTTAAGGATTTACTATATAAGTATGCAGATAAATATTAACCCCCTGAAGATGGTCTCAGACCAGATTGAATGTACTTGAGAAAATATAATTATTTGAAAGAAAACTTTGTAATTTGTATTAATCAATTTTCTGCATCCACCAAGAAATTAATGCATCGATTTCAAAGGATTAAAACTAAAAGAAATAAACACAGTATTAAAGCTGCTTGAATGAAAATATACTGCCTATATATATATATATATATATATATATATATATATATATATATATATATATATATATATATATGTGTGTGTGTGTGTGTGTGTGCGTGCGTGTGTGTGTATTTATATGTGTCTGTGTGTGTGTGTACACTGCTGGAAAAATATTTTATTTTGTTTGTCTTATTTCTTTAAAAGCATATCAACTCCTTATAGACCATTTAATGTCGAAATTTATTTTTTGGGGATCATTAGCATTTTCTTTTATCAAATTGAATTGGTGGTGTTATTTTATTTTAAAAATATATTACTGAAAATTTTTCTTTTACAAAAACGTATCACTGAGAACTTTTTTACTATGAAAATATATTGCCGACACCTTCACAATAAAAAATGTACTTCTAAAATTTCATAGTACTTTGAAGACAGTTGTGGAGTTCATTATATACCCAATACTGATACCCTGACAGGTTCTACCACCCCAGGTCAGGTTAGACTGGAAATAACAGCAATTAAGTGGTGTTTCCACGTTCATCAAAATCTCCCGATCAGAGGTCTTGCTGACGGATTTAGTTTATCTTCATATCCAGGACAACAATTATAGCATAGCAGACTAAATATATATTTCATTTTTCTTAAGATGGTCTGTAACGGTAATATATTTTGATTACAGTAGTCCACATGTCTCAAATTAAGTATTTCAAGTGTAATCACATTTCAAATTACTGTACTCTTACATGCAAACCATTTTATAAAGCCACACACACACTCACACACATATGGACATATCTGATAAAATAGAGTTTTAAGAAGTGCTATATTTATGGTTAAAATGCTCAATATCAAGTATAAATGTCTGTAAATATAAAAGTGGCCACAGAGGTCATCAACAACTAGCGAAAGACTAATTTATGTTTGAACGCAATTTTCAGGCCTTGAAGATTGTTTTCAAGTATGAAACAG